TTTTTTTTTTTTTTTTTTTTTTTTTGAGACAGGGTCTCACTATGCAGTTCAGGCTGGTCTTCAACTTTGTAGCCTAGGCTGTCCTCAAATTCGCAAGGATCCTCCTGCTTCAGCCTCCCAAGAGCTGGGATTACAGGCATGTGCCACCACGCCTGGCTCAGGAAAGTATATTCTTATCCCTGGCTCTCTCTCTGCTTCCCGGCTTCCCTGAGAGGAACAGCTCTCCTCCGCAGGCCCTCTGCTATGCTTTTTCTGCCTGGAAGCCAGCTAACTTTGGACCAAACTCACTGGTAACTGTGAGCCAAATAGCCCTCTCCTCCTCTAAGTGGTGGGTATCGTGTGGGGCGTTTCATCCCAGTGCTGGGAAAGTGGCTCATACAAAGCAGCATTGAGTTCAGGGGCCTGCATGGCGCGTGTGTCTGCTCTCAGGGAGCTTGCTATCTGGGAAGCTCATGTAGGCTACTTCAGGAAGAGAGACCACATGGAGAGAGAGGGCCCAGCCTTCTGGTCAGTCCTGCCATGGCCCCGGATGTACAGACATGGCCGTTTGCTCTTCTAGCCTTGTGGGCCCACCAGGTGGATGTGGCAGCGTGCATGAGCCCAGGTGAGACCAGAACTTCTCAGAGACGTCAGAGAACTGTGAGAAATAATAAACCACTGTTGTCTTGAGCTACCGGTCTGGGCTGTTTCATTATACAGTGACAGACAGCCGAGGCAGTACCCAGCTAGTGAAGACCAGACTCTCTAGGTGTTAGGTGATCTGCATTTGGCATTAGACGGGAAGTAGAAAGGTGAGGGAAAGATCAGGACTAAAGAAATGTCTGAGAGGTCGGAAATGGAAAATTCTGTCTCACACTGCATGATGATATCAGAACATGTTTGCTTTCGCTCTGGTGACAAACAGTGCCCAAGAAGAGATGTCCACTTGGTACAAGTCTGGGACCAATCCCTTCCTGTGATGAATTGCAAAATATGCTATACATACCCAGAGGCTCAAAAATACACTTATGTGGAATCCTAGTTGAGTAGCTGTTTTCTCATCATATTTTCAATGAAGACATCCCCATTTTATGTATTTAAAAATTTGTAGCCAGGTGGTGGTGTACATCTGTGATCCCAGCACTCAGGAGGCTGAGGCAGGAGGTTCTATGTGAGTTTGAGGCCAGCCTCAACTACATAACAAGACCCTGTCTAAAAAAAACCAAAAGAAAAAAATTAAATTTTTCTTAGTATGTCGGCAGTACATAATTATTTATCATGGGGGGGTTGGTTCATGGACATAATGAATCGTTTATACCCCCTTGCCCTCCTTTCTCTCAGCCCCGCCATCTCTTAGTTTCTTTTCGATAGTGTGTTAACTACTCTTTCATTTTCTCTTTTGAGACGGGGTTTGTGTAGTCCAGTCTGGCTGTGAACTCTCTTATGTAGTCCAGCCTGGCCTCAAACTCACAGTGATCTTCCTGCCTCAGCCTCCTGAGTGCTGGGATTACAGGTGTGCGCCACCATGCCCGGTTTGCATTAACCACTCTTGAAGGAACTTTAAGAAGGTTGTATTACTTGTAAAAGCAGAAGAATGACACACTTATTACTACTGTGGTGTATAAAAATAAGTTTGTGCACCACATAACAGCATTGTTTTAGAAGGCATAGATTTTAATTATTTATTTTTGATAGTGGGAATTGAACCCAGGCCTTTGTACTGAGCTGTATCTCTGACCTTTTTATTTTATTTGTTTGTGTGTTTTGAGACAGGGTCTCGCTATGTAGTTCAGAGTGGCCTTAAACTCACTATGTGGCCCAAGCTGTCCTCAGAATTGCAGTAGTTTTCTTGCCTCAGCCTCCTGAGTGTTGGGATTATAGGCATGCATCATCATGCTTGCCCTTCTCTCTCTCTCTCTCTCTCTCTCTCTCTCTCTCTCTCTCTCTCTCTCTCTCGTGCGCACACGCGCTTTCTTTTTTTGAGTTTTTGAGTCAGGGTCTTGCTATGTAGCTCAGGCTGTTCTTGAACTCATGGCATCCTCCTGCCTCAGCCTCCCAAATGCTGGAATTACAGGTGTGCACCACCATGCCCAGCTTTATTATTTATTTGTGAGATGGAGTTTCACTAAGTCACCAAGTTGCCCAGGCTGGCCTCAACCTTGTGATCCTTCTGCCACAGCCTTCTGGGTAGCTGGGATTATACATGTGTGCCACTGTGCCAATCTCTCTCTTCTTATTGATTCAGCAGTACTTGCTATTTACCAAGGACTGATGGAGGAATTAAGAATGCAAAATCTGAGCCAGACATGTTGATGCACACCTTTATCCCAGGAATTCAGGAGGCTGAGGCAGGAGGACTTCAAATTAGAGGCCAGCTTGGGCAATTTAGCAAAACCCTGTATCAAAAAAGGCTAGTTATATAGTTCAGTAATAAAGCGCCCTGACTTTGATCCCCAGTATCACACACGCACACACACACACACACACAGTGGGGCTGAGGGTGTAGCTCAGTAGTACGGTGCTGGTCTAGCTTGTGAAAAGCCCTGCTACAACCCCAGTGCTGCATGAAAGAAAAGCTTGTCCTCAGGGAACCGGTGCAGTTTTCTTTAGCATTGCAACATAGAGATACTGGACTACAGATTAATTTACAGTAGTGTGAACTTTATTGACTTTTTTCCTAAATTCAAAAAGTTCTGAGACGGCCAGGTGTGGTGTGTGCGCCTGTAATCCCAGTACTTGGCAGGCTGAGGCAGGAGGATTGCTGCTAGTGCGAGGCCAGCCTGGGCTACAAAGTGAGTCCAAGGCTAGGCTGAACTGCCTAGAGAAACTCTGTCTCAGAAAAGACCAAAAAAAAAAAAAAAAGAGAGAGAGAAAAGTTCCGAGAATCAGTGTGAAATACTAGGAATGCCTTAAAATCAGTGCAATTATTGATATAACTATATTGGAAATACTTTTGGCAGCATCTGCTAAAAACAAATGCAGACATATCCTATGACTCAGCAGTTCTGTTCACAGGTGACCACACACTCCCATGAAGCCAGGCCCAAGGACTTTCCAGCAGCACTCTTCCCACAGCCCGTGCTGGAGACAGCCTGGTCTTCCGGTCCTGGTAGCCTCAGGTATCCATCGGTCTACAGGGACAAAGCTATTACTTCTTATTGGAGTTGTGCCAGTTACTGTTTGTTTGTTTTTGAGTCAGAGCCTCACCATGTAGTTCTGCTGGCCTTGAACTCGCTGTGTGGCCCAACCTGGCCCCAAATTCCCAGGAGAGATCCTCCTGCCTTAGCCTCCTGAATGTTGGGATTATAGGCGTGTTCTACCACCCCCAGTTCGGACCAATTCTTTTAACAAAATAAATTAATATAAGGAATGGTTTGCTTGTACAGGCGTTGGAGAATTAAGTAAAGGCGGCACTGAGGGCACCCAGTGATAATGCAGGAGAAACCTGGGCATGGTGGTGCACACCTGTAATCCCAAGCACTCTTGAGGCTGAGGCAGGAGGATCTGCGAGTTTGAAGCCGGCTTGAAACTACATAGTGAAACCCTGCCTCAAAAAACAAAAACAAAGCAAAGCAAAGCAAAACAAAGATGCAGGCATTAGTGCCCATCTCTAGGGCTGGGAAACAAAGCTAAGGGCGTCCATTAGTAGACCTCACAAGCTCAGAGGTGGCAGCTGGACCCAGACCTAAGGGGCAGGGTGCTGATGGTACTGCTCAGGTGTGCGGGAGGCTGGAACCAGGTCTGCTACCTAACAATGACCTGTGTTGCGATGCTGTGACCGGACCAAACCGGTGGGAGCTGTCCTCTGCCTTCTCTAGGCTCCAGTGTCCCTCTGGTGCCCCTGGTGGGCAGAACAAGTAGGGCTCCCACTGGCAGAGCGGAAAAGGCTCACAAGCCCCAGGAGAAAGCTAGGGTACACAGGGCTAAGAGACGCAGTTGAATAAATGGCATTCACAGGGCTGGGCTGTAGCCCAGTGGCGGAGCACCTGCCTAGGACGTGGCACACCCTGGGTTAGATCCCCAGCACCGATAAAAAAAAGCAAAAACTAAAAGGATCAATAAATCAACAGATTTTTGTTTTAAATGTGACATACTCATACAATGGATTACTATAAAACATAGCACATACTATAATTCCAGCAGTCAGGATGCTGAGGCAGGGGAATCTCCATGAATTCAAAGCCAGCCTGGACAACATAGTGACTTCAGGGCAGCCTGGACTGCATAGTGAGACCCTGTCTCCAAAAAAGAAATTAAAATGGACTGGCCATGGTGGGGCACGTGTTTAATCCCAGCACTCTGGGAGGCTGAGGCAGGAAGAGCAAACATTTGAGCCCAGCCTGAATAATTTAACAATTTAGTGAGACTGCCTCAAATAAAAAATAAAAAGAGCTGAGGATGTGGCTCTGTGCAAAGGGCCTGGGTTCAGTCCCCAGTAACACACACACACACACACACACACACACACACACACACACACACACAAATCCACCCAAATATAGCCCTGGGCAAATCTTGAGGAGCCATTTGTGAGCTAGCATATGTAAGAATGTTCTCTGGCACTTCATTTAGGGCAAATTTGTTACTATTCATTTCCTCCATATCATCTACATTTCCTTTTCTTTCCTCTGAATGTTGAACAGAAAATTCCGTTGCTTTCTACTCCTTAATCCGCAGCCTTTAAGGCCTCTAAGGATGCTGGCTGTGAATCCCGGCACTCAGCACAGGGGGAAATGACCCCTTGTGGCGGCTGTGAAATCAGCCACCGCTCTTCAGAGGCGGTGCTCGATGTCCTCCCGGGAGCCTGTGCTGCTCATGGGTAGAATGTGGCAGAAGCGATTGTGACTTCCAGACGTAGGTCACAAAAGGCAGCGCGGTTCTCGCCCGGATCATTGGTTGTGCAAGCTGAGGCTGCGGCAGCCCCATGGGGAGGTGCGGGCTGTGAGGCACGAGTCTCCGCAGCGCCCCCAGGACCGAGGACGGAGGCGTCCTTTCTCAGCCATGTGAAGGAACCACCGGGTAACAGATCTCCAGCCTCGGTCAAGCCCGCAGATGGCTGCCGCTCCTGGGGACACCTCCACGAACCAGCTCACCTGTTCCCACATTCCTGAGCCTCAGAGACCGTGAGCTAAGAGTTGTTCATTAGTTTTTACTTTGTGTGCGTGTGTGTGTGTGTGAACTGGGAGTGGTGGTGCATGACTGTAAACCCAGTACACGGGAGGCTGAGACAAGAGGATCACCATGAGTTGGAACCCAGCCTGAGATACATACTGAGACCCTGTCTCAGAGAGAGAGGGAGGAGAGGAGAGAGCGAGAAAGAAAGAGAAAGAGAGAGAACGAGAATAGATACCTAATATAGTCCTTAATATGCACATGTGTGACTAGTTAATATTTATTTATGTATTTATGTGTTTTTGTGGTTCAGAGGCACTCTATCATTGAGCTGCATCCCTAGCCCCCATCCCTTTTACTTTTGAGACAGAATCTCTCTAAACTGTCCAGGCTGAATTTTGAACTTGCGATCCTCTTCTTCACTTAGTTTCTCAAGCGCTGAGATGTTTATTTATTTATTCATTCATTCATTCATTCATTTATTTATTTATTTTAGACAGGGTCTTGTCAGTGTGTAATCCAGGCTGGCCTTGAACTCCTGGTGATCCCCCTGCTAGTCTCCCAACTGTGGGATGACATATTTATTTTATGCTTAGATCCTTCTCTAACCCTGTGTAGCTAATGATTTAATCTTAACAACAGACACGATTGCATACTTTTCTGAGTGTTTTACGTGAATGAACTCATTTAACTCCTCAGAACAAACTCACAGGGTAGGTAATATTAGGATCCTCGTTTGTCAGATGAGGCAACTGAGGCACAGAGGGAGAGTGATTCACCAAGGAGCACACATCCAGGTGGTAAGGGCAGACCTGGTGTTTGAACTCTGGCCCCCTGGCCCTGCGATCTCTGCACTAATCTCCTTGTTACCCTGCTTTATTGGGGGCTGGGGATTTATCTCAGCGGCAAAGTGCCTGTCTGGCAAGCACAGGGTCGTGAGTTCGATTCCTGGTACAGGAAGAAAAACAAAAAACAATACAATAGTGTCATTGAGAAATACTTTCTAATGGAATAGTAAAGGACAGGCTGAAGCCTCCTTGAGAGACTTTCCTAAAAATTTAGACACGTTGGAAGTCTTAAGAAAAAGGCTGGTTTCTCATGCATTAAAGGCTCCAGGATGGATACGTTATTTTAAGTCTTTCCTCAACTCTCTGACGCTCAATCTCCCTTCCAAGATCCAACAGGTTTTAGTGGCTCCGCTTGGCAGTATCACAGTTCAATTGCTTTTACAACGTTCTTTTCATTTTCTCTTGCATATGCTAAAAACTGACACACGGCTATCTTGAGTTACACTGCAGGAGACTGGGGGGCAATGTGTGTGTCCTGCCTTCTTTGCTTCTTTTAGGTCACTGTGGGGGACCAAGATTTATCCAGTTCTGAGGCTGCCTAGTGTTCCTATTCTTAACTACATCTACTTGACTAATTTGATACATATAGCAATAAATGATGGTATAATAAAAAAGGAGGGGCTGTGGATTTAGCTCAGTGGCGTAGTGCCTGCTTGGCAAGCATGAGGTCCTGAGTTTAATTCCCAGTACACCCCCGCAAAAAAAAATTTAAAAAAATAAAAAAAAGGAGATCACATTTTATTATTTTGTTTTTTTAAAAATATATTTCCTTTTAAATGTCCTTCTAAAGTATAGTGCACCTTGAAAAAATGTTTAATTTACAAATTAGCAGAGAGTAGGTCTGTAATTTCGCATTCTTTTATTTCTCTCTCTCTTTTTTTTTCTTGAGACAAGGTCTCGCTATGTAGTTTAGGCTGGACTTGAACTTACTATGTAGCTCAGGCTGGCCTTGAACTCATGATGATCTCCCTGTGCTGGGATTATGGGTAAGTGCCACCGGGCCCAGCTAAAAATCTTTTCTGGAACATCTAATATTGGATGGGTAAAGTTGTTAATTGATACTTAATGTGGTATATTTTAATTCAATAAATTTAAAGCAATTTCATAAATATTCTTAGCAGTGAATATAGTCTTTGCCTACTTTATAGAAGTGAAAAGGACTGGCAAGATAGTCTTAAAGTCTTTATTATTAACGTCATTGTTCCATTTTTTGAAACAGAGTTTCTCTGTATAGTTCAGAGTGATCTTGAATTCACTATGTAGCCCAGGCTGGCTTTAAACTCATGGCAGTCCTCCTGCCTCAGCCTCCAAGAGCTGGGAAGGAAGGTGTGCACCACCACACCTGGTGAGAGCAGGGAGATTTTTGTGTGCTTCATTTTCTGCTCTAGACTCAGTATTTAAAATAATGCCTGCACCATAAAAAATGATAAGTATTTGGTGAAACATTGAATGAAAAGATCCAGCAAACAGAGTGGCCATGCAGCTCTCAAGTAATTTTAAAATAATTACTATTCATTGAAGAATCACTTGTCTTATTTGGTAGTCATCCTCACATATAAGGGTTAGTATTAATGTTATTTTCATTTCCCAGATGTAGTTACACAACTTGTCCAAGGTTATACAAAAATTAAATAGCAGAAAAGGCTTTCAACATTTGGCTAAGTGAAAAGGGCTAGTCATAAAAACCACATATTTTATGAGTGCATTAATGTGAGCTGTCCAGAACACGCATGTCTAGCAGGGCATGGTGGTGCATTCTTGTAATCCCAGCACTTGTGAGGCTGAGGCAGGAGGATCACTGTGAGTTGGAGGCTGGTTTGGACTACATAGTGAATTCAAGGCCAGCCTGGAATACACAATGAGACCCTGTCTCAAAAAACTGAAGACCCATTGAGTGTGGTGGTGCATGCCTATATTCCCAGAACTTGGGAGGCGGAGGCAAGAGGACTGCTATGGGTTCCAGGCCAGCCTGGGCTACATAGTAAGTTAAAGACCAACCTAATATAGTGAGATCATATCTCAAAAAAAAAAAAAAACCAAAAAACAAACAAACAAAAAAACACCCCCAAAAAAGCCCTCATCTCCTCAAAACAACCAACCAACCAACCAAAAAGCCCAAAAAGCATTGGGGCTATAGCTCAGTATAAAGGTCCTGGGCTTAATCCCCAGTACTGCAAAAAAAAAAAGAAAAAAGAGGTCACTTGGACTGGTCACAATGCTCAATGGAAGAGCAATATTTTATCTATCCTCATATCTATAGCACACACACATACACATATACTAGGGAAAAGATATTCACACACCCTCAAAGAACCTTTTTTTGCTTTTGTTTTTGTTTGAGACCAGGTCTTGAGATGTAGTCCAGGGTGACCTTGAACTCAAGGTGATCCTCTTGCCTCAGCCTCCTAAGTGGTCTTCTTTTTCTGAGTGTTGATATTACACTCACCACAACCAGTGATAATGGAATTCTTAGAATACCTTTGTTCTGGCATTACAGTTGTATGCCACCATGGGTGGCTAACCCACAGATAACTTTTTGGTTGGCTTGTTTTAACTGAGGTGAAATTCCTGTAAAATGAAGCAGCATTTAAAGGAACCAATTCAGTGAGCGGCAGTTAGGACATTCACAGTGTGGTGCCACCATCACCTCTGTCAGCTCCAAGTGCCATTCACCATCTCATAGTGAAGTCTGGTCCCCGTTGAGTAGCTGCTTCTTCACTCCTCCTGCTCCTGCCCCCTGCTTCCGGTGGACTTGCATCTTCTGGAGATTTCAAGGAAATGGAATCATCCAATATGGAACCTTTTGTGTCTGACTTTTTTTGGTACTGGGGATTGAACTGGGCCCTCACATGGAATGACATCTTCAGTGCTTTATTTTATTTTTGTTTGAAATAGCATTTTGCTAAGTTGCTGGGCTTGGACTTGTCATCCTTCTGCCTCAGCCTCCCAGAGTGTTGGCATTTACAGGTGGGTCCTACTGTGCCCAGTTATGTCTGGCTTTTTCCATTTAGCATCATGTTTTCAGGGCTTTTCCAGATGGTAGCATATGTCAGCATATGTCTCAGTGCTTGGAGCTGAACCCAGGGCCCTGCACATGTTAAGTACATGCTCTACCGCTGAGGTACACCCTCTTCCTAGTACTTTCTTTCTATGGACAGTATTCTATGGTATCAATACTTTTTATGCTACTGGGGATAAAATCTAGAGCCTTCACATGGAGCTACATCCCTATCCCTTTTTTGTTTTTTGAGACAGGGTTTTAAAATATGGGCTACGGAAGCAAGCACGTTGAGACAAGGTCTTGCTAAGTGGCTAAGTTGCCTGGGCTCAAACTTAAGCTTCTCCTGCCTCAGCCTTCCAGGGTTCTGCGATTCTAGTACTTCATCTTTTATATGGCTGAAAAATATGCCATTGTATGTAGGGACCACAGTTGTTTATCCTTTCAATGGTGGATGGACAGTGGGGTGTTTCCATGTTTAGCTCTGTGATGCACCTTTGAACATTCCCCAAAGATTGCTTAACTACTTTGGGTATACACCTAGGAGTAGGCTTGTTGGGAATCCTCTTACCTTTCTGAGGAACCAACAAAGTTTCTCATAGGAACTGTACCATTTAACATCCCCACCAGCAATGCATGATGATTCTAACTTTTCAGTATGTGAAGGATCTAAATTCTCACCAAGATGTATTTACTATAGGAAAAAAAAAATGTGGCCGTCCTGATAGGTGTGAGGTGGCATCTCATTGTGGTTTTGCTTCGTATTTCTGCAATGATTAATGATTTTGAGGATGCTATTATATACTCGTTGGCCAGTTGTGTTTGGAAAAATGCTTATTCAAATTTTTTGCCCTTGTTTACGTATATTTATTTATTATTTACTTATTTGTTTTGGTTTTTTGAAGCAGGGTCTTGCTGTGTAGTTCAGGCTGGCCTTGAACTCTCTCAGTGACCCTCCTGCCTCAGTCTCCTTAGTGCTGATATTACACTCACAATTGGCGATAATGGAATTCTTAGAATACCTTTGTTCTTAGTAGACACACACTGAAATACTATTTAGTGGTAAGAGGAAAAGAAAACTCAAGTGATTTAGGAAAATAAACCAACCACATAGAAAACAAACGTGGAGAAATGTTAAAAACTTGTGACTATGTTAATATGGCTG